GGCCCCAGCTTTGATCAATGCAAAAATGCTTGGTGTACATGTCTCTGGGGTTGATTTATCTATTTACTCGGCAGCCTCGTCATCAGGGACACCAAGACCAGGGTTGGGGAGGGCGGAAAAAGGACTCCCTTTTGTAGCTGTCAATATTTAAAACGTTGTCCTGTTTCGGGGCACGCAGCTGCTGTCCCCTTCCTGCTGTCCTCCTCCTGTAACGCTGCGTGCTTAACAAGAGTTTATTGAATTTTATTTTCTCATCTCAATTTGATGCTAGCACGAAGCAATTCCTTTCTGCTTGCCCTCACTTATTTTGGGCAACATATTGCTTGTCCCACTTCTTGACATCATTTTTTGGGGAAAAGGAACTTTGTCTCTGGTGCATTTAAATTTCAAATTGTTTTATTGCCGGACGAACCCCAAAACAGGGAAATAATTGAAATTTTGTAGTTGGAAAACACTGTATATGCAGCGCGCTTGTAAATCGCTTATTATAAAAAATGTTATAAATTTCAACGCACAGCGAAAACTTTTCCACCGTGTTCGAGTCAAGTTTTTCGATTACGGATTAATGTAATTTTTTTCCTCATATATATACATTTTTTTTATTATTTTGTTGTTTATTTTGTCTTGCATACTGACCCCTCCCAGTGCTCATCTAGTTTGTTTGACTTGTCGGCCCGGCTTGAAAGTTTGATGAATTTTTAAATTTAAAAAGTTTATTTGTGCGTTTGTAAGTTAGCCGAGGGCCGGCAGTTCTGCGGATTATTATTAGAAGTGCAGGCTGACTGACTTCGACACTTCAAAGCGAGTTCGCTGATGAGGTCGTGACACTTGCGGGCGCTTTCCCCGCGAGGTTGCCGCCGCCTAACATTATGTTTATCCGAATCCCCAAGCGCACTGCCTAATTTGAACAATTTTCTATTTGTCCTCGCAGCGGAATCTTTCATGTTTCATTGTCAATATCTTTATTTATGGTGCGGTTTGCTGGATTTGTTCGCGGTCTCTTTTAGCACCTAGGGGTTGTTTTCCTGCTCCTCAGTTTCATTGCTATTTGCTTAAGCAAATCGCTGTTGACAAAAACATTTGCCACAACGAGCAGCACAGGTGGGAAAAGTGGAAAAGCGGCTTGTTGAGCCATATAAATACAAATGAATTTAAATAATGCTGTTTTCCGTTTTTGCGGGAATTACTAAAAACCAAACTGCGGAATTTGTTGCCACATAACAATAATAATTACACACAGCAATGCAGAGGGGATCGATGCGAAAACTATTTAATCACAAAATATTTTCATGTACGACTGAGTGCATTTAATGACGGCCAGATGGAAAATCGCACGAAAAATAAGCGAAAGACTAAAATCAACATTTAAATCGGCTAATGGATAAGGGCGGGGGTGTCAGGTATTGTGGGGCGTATGTTAAACAAAATCAATTACAGATAATTTAACGTGTACGGGGTTGCGAAAAGGGGGAAGCACATAATAGAGTCATTTAAGTACAGTTTAAACATTAATGAGGGTCGGGGGGTAATTGCAGCAGCAAAGCAAGGAGTTGCTGGCCACGGTAAATCGATAATAAATGTGGCAGACGTTGGTCGTCCGTTCTGCCAGCTCGGCCGTTAGAATAACAAACGGAGCACACATACGCACTGTGGACAGCCGACACTCGGACACTTGGACACCTAACACAAAGGACACAGGATACGAGGGGCGATACTCGGCACTGAACACCGAGCACTGGCACACTGGGCCCACAGCACAGGCCACGTTTGTTTGACTCGCGGCCACGGCTGGGGAAATACAACTGAAAGAGGAGCAAGAGGGTCAGTGCCGGCCGTTCTAATACCAGAAGTGAGTGACGAGGAGGTACAACTTTTTGCCTTTCGCGTTGCAGTTTGCGCCAACAAATTGCAGCGACAGTTTCAACGCCAACTAATCAATATGGACGACATGTGGTCGAATGGGGAAAAAGGAGGCGGAAAGGCGCTAAACACGGCATGTGGCAGAGGTGGTGGAGGCGAACCGGAACAGTTGGCCAGGACAAAGCGTAAGTGCTGGCCAAACAATTGCGGTTAATGCTTGCCTGCAACGCGATAGTTATGACTGATAAAATAATAAATTCAGCCAGCCAGCAACTTTGGTTCTACCTCCTTTTATTTTTCGCAAACCCACTATTTACCTTCATCGAAATTTACGAACTTCCAACAAAGTTGAGATTGAGTCAATAAATTCGGTCGGATATAGAAACCCGATCGGAAACTCATTTGTATGCTGGTCAGCTGGGCGAGCGGTTGCACATTATTTTATTACGCGCAATTGACTCACACAACCCAAAAAGGGACTCTTCGGTAGACGTGGCCCAATAAAAAGGGCTGAAAAGGCTGGCCAAGGAAGAAAGGACCAGTGTGCTATATTCACAATATAATATAATTTAATTCGCATTTAATTATCCCTCAATCCGCATTCATTAAATGTTTTAGTAATAAATTTGATTTTTTGGTGTATGCGATATAAGCCCGAGATATATGTAATAAGTTATGATGATTTAGAATACTTAAAAATAATAAATTAATTGTATAAAATAAATATTAAGAGAAACCATATCTAAGAAAGATTACATTTTTCCTAGTGTACAAACGTCTGCAATGTGCAAATGTCAGATTGTAGAGTAAGACATTACGCAATTATGTGAATCAGTAATTGTAAAATGGGACTTTGATGTTGTATATTCACTTACAGCTAACTTAATGGTCTTAGTACTAAATAATTGATTGGTAATCAAATTAACAATTAAAATCGCAAATACGTCTACGAAACAACGACAACAACTAGGAGCACGACAACGAATGAGAAAGGCTATGTTAGCTACAGTGGTGAGTGATGAAAAATTCGGAGATTACAGTGCATATTCAAGCTGTAGAGTTACCAAAACAACAGGCAAAGCAAGAGAGAAGGGGAGTTAGTGGGAAAGAAAGTTAATATCTACTTCTCGACAGGAAAATGACTGAAGGAAAACTCAAAGAGATCTGAGGAGAGACTTGTTTTATAGCGTTTTTTAGTGAACACACAAACCTTTTTAGGAGAAGATAAGTGTAGTGAAGTTGGCGATGGCATAGAACAATCAGAAGATGCAGAACTGCAGCCGCTGCTGGCGCTGCTGCAGCCCAGAACGCTGGCCAGGGGCAGGTGGTGGGGCATCATCGGCAGTGGTGCTGGCCCCAGAAGCGAGGCCATTGCCCCAACCCCACCACCCACTCCTAGCCCGGCGCTCAGGACTGCATCCGCTGCTGCCGGCGGCTGCTTCTTAGTAGTAGTAGTAGTTCTAGTTACGGCTGATAGATTAACTGTATTATTTACATTGTTGGTCGGAGTGGTGGCCGCCGAAGTGGGCGTGGCCGCGGTTGCGAACATGGCCGACGAGGCGACCGCCGCCGCCGGAATGATGGTCAACGGAGTGCTCGGAGCCGCGAAGAACTGAGTCGGCACCGATACGGGAACCGGACCCGCAATCGGTCCGGCGATCGAGCCCGGAATCTGGGCGGCTACCGGCTTGGTGGGCGTGGCAGGGGCGGTGGCCACACCCACTGCACTGTTCACCTGCAGTTGCATGTACGTCTGCAGCATGGCCTGCGCTTGGGCTTGAGCCTGGGCCTGGTAGTGGAACTGCTGCTGCAGTTGTTGCTGATGCTGCACTTGCGCCTGTTGCTGCTGTTGTTGCTGCTGCTGGGCGGCAATGGTCGCAACCTGGTGGTGGAAGACGGCCGCCTGGTGTTGTTGTTGCTGCTGATGCTGCTGCTGCTGCTGGTGCACCTGCATGGCCTGATAGGCGGCGGCTGATGCTGCCGAGTGCTGCGGATGCTGATGCGGATGTGGATGCGGATGCGTGGACGGCGGTGCGTGCAACAATTGCATTTGCTGTGCGTGGTGGGTTCAGATTATTTGTTGTATTCGGTTTTTGGCGAGGGCTTTGATTTGGTTTCAGTTTGGTTTTGAATTGGATTTTCTGTTTTTCTCTTAAATAAAATACAAAACAAATCGCAACGAACTCAAAAGTGTGTGTGTGGTGGAGTGGACTGGACCCTTCTGACATCATCCGTTTGAAATTATAAACTGTGTTTCAGGGGCTGGAGAAAAAAGGTTGGACTACAGGAAGTGATTCGAGGGCTGAGATATAGATTAAGAATTCAGGTGAGAGAGATAGAGCAGTGAGAGTTTTTAGCGAGCGCTACTAGTGGATAGTGGATAGTAGAATCTACAATTGGAACCATAGAGAGGCAGAGAATGACCGATACAGAGACAGTAACAGAGACAGAGACGGAAGCAATAGCACAAAGATTTGGACAATTTCAACAGATCTAGGCCCGCTCACATCTTGGCCACTTGGTAGAACAGCTTTAGTGAAGAAGACGTGAAAGTTTTTGTGGCCAAATCACGAGACGAGCATCAGCTTCGTTTAATTAGATTTTAATGTCAATGGCTGGGTTGGTAACACAATCTTAAAATAAACTATATACACGACCGCAGGGAAGGTGAAAAATTATCATTAAAAGTAAATCTAGTTCCCAAACCGAAACAATCAATCAACTTAAAATAAAATATATGTAAACTCTAAGGTATTTACAACTTAGAAATAAATACAAATACAACCTCCCCCATTGACATTAAGAACTTTTGAAATTGCCCAATACATAGTTGATAGATCAGTTAAGTTATATTAGGTTAGCTGTATAGATTTATTATGGCAGAAAGAGGTAACCAAAAAATAAGTTTAGGAATATAGTTGGCTTTTTGCATAGTAAACTGTACAAGTTTCTTATATATCTTTAATTAGTAAGTAGTCATGGCATATTCTTCGATCAAGACATACAGAGTTCTTGAGTCCAATATAGGATTCGTTTTCTTATTTTTCGGGTGTTAATTTAGCGGTTCTAATTTTTCGCTTTTTTGCTTTCGAGTGCGGATTCGGTAATTTGATTAGGATCGGATTCTGGGCGGCGCTTACCATTATTAAATCTTGTATAGGGGAGGACTCGGCCGAATCGGATGCAACGATCTCGCTCTTTACCGTTGCTGCTGCTCCTGCCACTGACGAAGTGGGCGGCGGTGTGGGCGTGATGGGTGTGGGCGTGACGGGGGCGTTGGCGGCTAGCGACGCTTGAGAGCTGCTGCTGATACTGAGCGCTGCAATCGCTGCTGACGCCGTGGTTTCTGTTAACGCGGCAATGATGACAGTTTTATTGGCAACAAATGTTGATTAAAATTTCCTCCGCTTCTGTTTTTAGCACTTGGTTGTTTCTCGAGAGTTTTTACTGTTTGGCGCGTTTTGAGTTTAAGACTTTCGGTTTTTTTTTTGGTATTTTCTTGACGGGTTTGGTTGATGGGGAAATTGCACAGGGTTTGTTGATTTGCGTGTTTTGGTGAATATATGAGCTCTGCTTACTGATATACTATAATGCCAATTGAATAAGTTTTCTATGTCAGCTATGCCAATTGTGCGACGTAAAGCTTTACGCAAATTGTTGCTACACTTAGTCGATGGACAAGAAAACAGCTAACAAGTTTAGTTTTACGACTACTACGTTTTATCTGATTTTGAGCGTATTTTAAACTATTTCTTAAAAATGTTAATATGCTAGTATATCACTACTGTGTTTGACTAATAGCTTAGATGTGTATAAATATGTGTTTAGAGATTTGAAAACCGTTTGAAGATTGTTTAAAGTTCTGATTGATTGCAAGATGATTGTAGATTGTATAGACCGCTATAATTGTTCTTAAGCCTCGAAGTTTTCTAGAGGAGAGTGGTTGTCTTAGAGATTGTCATAGAATAGAGGTTCGATTTAAGACCTGTAAAGTGCCAAGGCTAGCAAAAGTTTTTTATAAATATATGCTGTAGAGAAGATGTATATAAATCCTATATTACGCGCGGAGGCGATATATCTGATGTGTATATGAAATACGCTAATTTCGTGTGATTGTCAAAACGCGATTTCTTGTCGATCGAGGCATTGATTAGACCCGGCGATCCCACTTTAACCCTATTCCCTTAAAAACGTTAACCCCTTACTGTATGCTAGAGACAAAGCTAGGAAAATCTGGCTGTGGTTACATTAAAATGTCGATTGAGAGTGATTGAGATTGAGTGGGTCTCTGATTGACGTTGCTTGCTTACGAATTACAAATTGACTTTGCCTACGCCTTCCTACAACCGATATTTCGTCAGTGTGCAAAGACAGATATTTAGCTATTCAAAATTGGCTACTTTGCTTTATTTGCAGGGTAATCTGGGGGTTGGTTTGATTGTTTAGTAGCATCAATATTTATACAACTATTCCTTCTACTTCTGTTTGATTTTTCTCATTTTCCGCGGCCTCTTTCGGTTGCCTTCTAATTGTTTGCTTGCCGTACTTTGATGCTGATATGTTTCTATTTAACGGGTTTATTTCTCTCCTTGTAAATATTTATACTTAATTTTCAATTTAACAACCTTTGCATTCTCTCGCTTCTCTGTCGCCGATTTCTTCGACCTTCCTGCCTATCACCTTTATTATTTCTTGTTCTTGCTAATTTGCCCTTTGTGGTCACCTTTTTTAATTGATTTCCCCCACCACTTATCAGCGTTCAAATGCCCCTTTAAATTACGCCCAAAATTAACAACCGAACATACAAATATATAGATATATATTGATATATAAATTTCTATAAAATTCACAATTCTCTCGTGTATGTCTCAACAGGATCTTGATTTTTGTAAATATCTTTTGCAAAACTTTGATTACACTTAGTTCGTATATATAATTTAAAATACTGTTCTGTACCGACTGAAATTCTTTTGATTTAGCAACAATTCACCACTTTTTGCCAGTTTCTTGTTTTGTGCCTTTCTGTATGATTTTAATTTGTTATTATTTTGTTTTCTTCAGATTTGATTTTTAGTGGATTCTGCTCGATAGTGCTTTGATGGCTGATGGGTTTTTGGGCGGGGCGGATTTCGGAGGGGGAGCGGTTGGGGCTTAGAAAAATACCAGGGAGTTCGTTTGGAGTTTTGTTGCCTTCAGCTCTGGATTATTTCATATATGCTGGGACTTGTCAGGCATTTTTATGTCGGTTTCTGAATGCTGGTCAAGAGATGACAGAATTCGTGTGGTTATTTTCTTGTAAAGTAAATGGTGGGGAAATAAAATTAAATTCAAATAAATAAATGGAATCAAATTTTGAATTTTTACTTTCGCATATTTTCTTGCCAATTCAAAGCCAAACGTGAAGCTCCAAAAAATCGAAAAAATAAACCACATAAAGTGAATATCAATTAAAAAACGAATAAAAGCTTTGCACAAAATAAGAAACAACAAAACGAGACACAATGGGCATGAATATTTAATAAAAATTGCTCTTATTACCAATTAAGTGTCGAGTCAGAGTCGTTGAAGTTGGATGAGAAGTGAAGTTTTTATTTTTTTTGGTGGATTCTCTTGATTTTATTTTCAATCAATATTTTTGTTAGGTTTTATTGCTGTTGTTGCGGATCTTGTAATTATGGCTCTGGAACAAAGGCAAAAAAAATCATGGAATATTTCGCGATTTCGAATATTTTGTGCTCTCTTGTGCGCTTCAAGTGTGCAAATAATTTAACATTTGTGCGAGACATTCTTTATTATTCTTTTTGTGAGTTGTGAAAAAACACGTTTTGGGCCTGAGAGCCGAGCGAAAGCCCCTGTGTTTCTCTCTTCCCAGATTCTGATTAACACGCACGAAATTTCTTTAGCTTTACCGGTTTGTTGTGCCGCTGTTGTTCTTGTTGTTGAGTCACACTTTGGCCCGCTGCAAAAACAGGTAAGAAGCAAGAAGAGAGTTCAAGCCCGTGAAACGCCGCGTGGGCCGAGCGCCGTCTCCCTCGCACTCCGCCGACGTGTAATTACAACAATAAAAATAAACTACGGGAATTATTCGGATGCGTACTTAGTACGCCAACAGCGGCAGCGACAAGTGGCCAAGAGTCTACTTCTATGCTGGCTGTCTGTGTGCGGCCTATTGGAACGCGGGCCATAAGGTTTTATGGCCAGAAGTCGACTCGAATCGGAGTTAGCTGAGGAAGTCTACGTCTGCGTTTTTGCCTGCTATTTTGTTTTTCTGTCTTTCTTTTTCGGTTTTCGTTTCGTGTTGTTTTTCCCTTATTTTCGTTTTTATTATTTTTTTGTTTTTTTTTGTGGGCCCGCAAACACAAAACGTGTTTCTTTGTTGGCGAGGCTCTTGGTTTTGCCGGCTCTGAAATTTCTTCGCCTATGTGCGGCTTAAACGCCGAGAACAGGAGCGAGAGACGCGAAGACTGATGATGGCTCAGAACTTGTTGTTGCCAAGGCCTATAGGAATATCGTCGGCCCAAGAACTGCAGAGCGGCTCTCGAGCAACGAACTTTTGCCAGAAACTCGGCCCTCGCTTTACTCGGTCTTCGCTTATTGTTAAATTATTACTTTTGTGAGCACAAAATATTCTTTTTTCTGTTGTGTTCTTGCTGTTTTTGATTTCTTTTCTTACATTTTAGAGAGCGCAAGGTGCGATAGAGACACTGGGAAATGAAAATTAGAGTCGAGTTTTTGGTTGGGACTTTTAATTTGATTCACACGCGCAAAAAGTGAAAACACCACGAAGCCGGAAGTCGATTCGATTTTACTTTTCAATTTGTGGATTGTGAAGCTTCGATTATAATATTCTCGGGGACTGGATCTGGATTTGGATCTGGACTGATGTGATCTGTTCAAGTCGGGCACTGGATGCGAACTGCGCGTGTTATTTTCTTTTTATCATTATCCGCGTGCTGCTTGCGAGGCGTTGTTGCTGCTGTTGCGGCTGTTTTCGATTTGAACCCGACTTTGATTTGGATATTGAAATTCGTGAGTGAGTGGAGAGTGTGTGAGAGAGTGTTCTGGGGTTCTGGCGTTCTGGCTCCTGCTGCTGCTGCTGATGTTGCTACAAGCGGTGGTGGAGAGGATGTCGCTGGCGTTGCGGAGGTGTGTGGCGGTGGTTGGTTTTGGGCGCTGACGGCGACGGCAACTGCGACTGCGACGCCAACTTTCGATGATGGCTGAGCTGAACTGAACGGAACCAGGGAACAGACGGGCTACCGACCCGATGATACGGTGATACGATGGTACGATGATACGATGCTACTGCTGCTGTTATACTAGGTGATTCGATTCGATTCCTATAGAGAGCCAACGAGCTGAGCGGCGGACAGAGTTGGAACGGGTTAAAGCAAAGACTGTACGAAGACTGAAGTAAGAACGACTGGCATTCTAAGGTAATATACCTTTTTGTTTCGGAGTCGGACGCCGATGCCTCTGCCACTGCCTCTGCCGCAGTCGCAGTCGCTGCCGGGATTGAATCTGTTGCTGCTGCGCTGGCAGAGGCAGCGGCAGAGCGGCGACGCGTGTTAACCAAAATAAAGCAACAGTGGGCCCAAGAACCGGACTCGGGCTCAAAGAACGAACGCGGCCGAGACGAGCGGCCACGAAACGCTGCGGGAATCGGTCGTCGTGGGCAGCATTTCTCCTCTTGGCAGCGACGACTCCGAAAAAATGCGATAGGAAAACGAGTCATCAGTAGCACACCTTTTGGGCCTTCTCCTGTTTGGCCGTTCTCTCGCGCTCTCACCCGTTGGTCTGCTACCTGCTGGTGGATTTATTGTATTTCTTCCTCTCAGTGAATTTTTTCAGGTGCGCAATTATCAAGTCATTATTTTCAGCGGGGCACAACGATCTCTTATATTTCCACGAAATATATACTTAATTTTTTCGAAACATAAACCAATCCGTATAAGACTTTCGAGGATCGGAGCTGGAGGGGACAACTCGTGGCCAACTACCCGAAGGATGCCTCCCTGGCGCCCCTTATTTTTGGTTGTTGCTCTTGTAATCGCAATTGTTGCAGTAACATTACTGGCACACACACACACGGGCAGGACACACGCACACACACGAGCACTCCCACGTGAGACAGCAAATGCATGCGCCATGCGTGTGCGCCACCCAAAAGCCAGAGGTGCAAGCGAAAGGGCAGAGGGTTCGAGCGAGAGGCAGACAGCTACGATAGCAGCAAAAAAAAGCCAAAACGACGTCGGCAGCAAAATCAACGAGAAAATAATAATTGTTACACCTGCTTCGGAAATGTGGCAAAAGGGGGTGGCACACACACACCCTCACGCAACCGAAGCTCGCTCGGTTTCAGGTGAGCGTATGCCACCCCCCAAAAACGCAGCGGAAAATGCCGAAGTTCGGAAAAGCGAAGCTCGGCCAAGGCTGACGAAGCGAAAGCGAACGGAAAAGCCGACAGAACTTCCCGACGCCCACCAGCCGACGGCGACTCCGAACGCCGGCAGAGCGCATGACGCCAAGGTGCAAATTATGCGTAGGTGAGTGTGCTTCCGGGGTGTGGGATGATGGGTGGCTCACCCCAAAATAAGGGGGAAAACCCGAACCAAATTTGTTGTAAGGGGTAGTGTCAACTGTTAAGCGAAAGCCTTTTATAGAGCTTTCTGTTATGAAGCCTTTGCCCCTGTAAAAGTTATCATAATCCTCATCTAATTCTCCCCACTAAATCCTCGAGAAAACTTCGAAATAGGTTAAAAAACAGTTTGGTAAATATTTTATTCTGGTTTCCATTATGAGAACCATTGGAATAACAAAAGCAATGAAATTTAGCAGGGCAGATTTGGGTACCAACTTAAATAATTGGATCAAAGTAGAGTTTTGGGTACCCATTCCAAGAGACGGAAAAATTGAACTTGAAAATGAGTTAAAATTTTGACCCTCGCTTAGAAAATAGATTTTAATGTAGATTATAATAGAATCAAACCACAAATTCATAGAGGTACACCACGTCTAAATCGGGATCCAACTACCCAAGTTATAAAAGTTAGAAGTTCAATTTTGGCTTCCCCTTCTGAGGGCCATTGGAATTACGGAAAAATCGAACATGAAAATGGGTTAAAATTTGGACCCTCTGTTAAAATAAATATTTGAATGTAGACTATTAGGAAATTCCACCACAATTTCATAGAGGTATCCCACGTCTAAATCGGAATCCAAAAACTCAAGATATGAAATCCAGAAGTGCAGTTTTGGGTTCCCTTATTGAAAGCCATTGGAATTACGTAAAAATCGAACATGAAAATGGGTTAAAATTTCGACAATCTTTTAAAAAAAAAAACTGAAATGTGGAATATTAGAGAATCCCGCCACAAATTTATAGAGGTATCACACGAGTAAATCGGGATCCAATTACCCAAGTTATAAAAGTTAGAAGTTCAATTTTGGCTTCCCCTTCTGAGGGCCATTGGAATTACGGAAAAATCGAACATGAAAAAGGGTTAAAATTTGGAACCTCTGTTAAAATAAATATTTGAATGTAGAATATTAGGAAATTCCACCACGAACTCATAGAGGTATCCCACGTCTAAATCGGAATCCAATTACTCAAGATATGAAATCCAGAAGTGCAGTTTTGGGTTCCCTTACTGAAAGCCACTGGAATTTCGTATAAATCCAACATGAAAATGGGTTAAAATTTCGACAATCTTTTAAAAGAAAAACTGAAATGTAGAATATTAGATAATTCTGCCACAAATTCATAGAGGCATCACACTAGTAAATCGGGATCCAATTACCCAAGTTATAAAAGTTAGAAGTTCAATTTTGGCTTCCCCTTCTGAGGGCCATTGGAATTACGGAAAAATCGAACATGAAAATGGGTTAAAATTTGGACCCTCTGTTAAAATAAATATTTGAATGTAGAATATTAGGAAATTCCACCACGAACTCATAGAGGTATCCCACGTCTAAATCGGAATCGAATAACTCAACTGGAAAGCCATTGGAATTACGTAAAAATCGAGCATGAAAATGGTTAAAAATTTCGACAATCTTTTAAAAGAAAAACTGAAATGTAGAATATTAGAGAATTTCGCCACAAATTCATAGAGGTATCACACGAGTAAATCGGGATCCAATTACCCAAGTTATAAAAGTTAGAAGTTCAATTTTGGCTTCCTCTTCTGAGGGCCATTGGAATTACGGAAAAATCGAACATGAAAATGGGTTAAAATGTGGACCCTCTGTTAAAATAAATATTTGAATGTAGAATATTAGGAAATACCACCACGAACTCATAGAGGTATCCCACGTCTAAATCGGAATCCAATAACTCAAGATATGAAATCCAGAAGAGCAGTTTTTGGTTCCCTTACTGAAAGCCATTGGAATTACATAAAAATCGAACATGAAAATGGGTTAAAATTTCGACAATCTTTTAAAAGAAAAACTGAAATGCAGAATATTAGATAATTCCGCCACAAATTTATAGAGGTATCACACGAGTAAATCGGGATCCAATTACCCAAGTTATAAAAGTTAGAAGTTCAATTTTGGCTTCCCCTTCTGAGGGTCATTGGAATTACGAAAAATCGAACATGAAAATGGGTTAAAATTTGGACCCTCTGTTAAAATAAATATTTGAATGTAGAATATTAGGAAATTCCACCACGAACTCATAGAGGTATCCCACGTCTAAATCGGAATCCAATTACTCAAGATATGAAATCCAGAAGAGCAGTTTTGGGTTCCCTTACTGAAAGCCACTGGAATTTCGTATAAATCAAACATGAAAATGGGTTAAAATTTCGACAATCTTTTAAAAGAAAAACTGAAATGTAGAATATTAGATAATTCCGCCACAAATTTATAGGGTATCACACGAGTAAATCGGGATCCAATTACCCAAGTTATAAAAGTTAGAAGTTCAATTTTGGCTTCCCCTTCTGAGGGCCATTGGAATTACGGAAAAATCGAACATGAAAATGGGTTAAAATTTGGACCCTCTGTTAAAATAAATATTTGAATGTAGAATATTAGGAAATTCCACCACGAACTCATAGAGGTATCCCACGTCTAAATCGGAATCCAATTACTCAAGATATGAAATCCAGAAGTGCAGTTTTGGGTTCCCTTACTGAAAGCCACTGGAATTTCGTATAAATCAAACATGAAAATGGGTTAAAATTTCGGCAATCCTTTATAAGAAAAACTGAAATGTAGAATATTAGATAATTCGGCCACAAATTCATAGAGGCATCACACTAGTAAATCGGGATCCAATTACCCAAGTTATAAAAGTTAGAAGTTCAATTTTGGCTTCCCCTTCTGAGGACCATTGAAATTACGGAAAAATCGAACATGAAAATTGGTTAAAATTTGGACCCTCGGTTAAAATAAATATTTAAATGTAGAATATTAGGAAATTCTACCACGAACTCATAGAGATATCCTACGTCTAAATCGGAATCCAAAAACTCAAGATATGAAATCCAAAAGTGCGGTTTTGGGTTCCCTTACTAAACGCCATTGGAATTACGGATAAATCAAACATGAAAATGGGTTAAAATTTCGACAATCTTTTAAAAGAAAAACTGAAATGTAGAATATTAGATAATTCCGCCACAAATTTATAGAGGTATCACACGAGTAAATCGGGATCCAATTACCCAAGTTATAAAAGTTAGAAGTTCAATTTTGGCTTCCCCTTCTGAGGGCCATTGGAATTACAGAAAAATCGAACATGAAAATGGGTTAAAATTTGGACCCTCTGTTAAAATAAATATTTGAATGTAGAATATTAGGAAATTCCACCACGAACTCATAGAGGTATCCCACGTCTAAATCGGAATCCAATTACTCAAGATATGAAATCCAGAAGTGCAGTTTTGGGTTCCCTTACTGAAAGCCACTGGAATTTCGTATAAATCAAACATGAAAATGGGTTAAAATTTCGGCAATCCTTTATAAGAAAAACTGAAATGTAGAATATTAGATAATTCGGCCACAAATTCATAGAGGCATCACACTAGTAAATCGGGATCCAATTACCCAAGTTATAAAAGTTAGAAGTTCAATTTTGGCTTCCCCTTCTGAGGACCATTGAAATTACGGAAAAATCGAACATGAAAATTGGTTAAAATTTGGACCCTCGGTTAAAATAAATATTTAAATGTAGAATATTACGAAATTCTACCACGAACTCATAGAGATATCCTACGTCTAAATCGGAATCCAAAAACTCAAGATATGAAATCCAAAAGTGCGGTTTTGGGTTCCCTTACTAAACGTCATTGGAATTACGGATAAATCAAACATGAAAATGGGTTAAAATTTCGACAATCTTTTAAAAGAAAAACTGAAATGTAGAATATTAGATAATTCCGCC